TAATTTGTTTTTGTTTTAATTCACATTTACCTATACTATTCTTAGATTTTAATATCTGAAATTTAGCTTTTCGTGGAATATTTTTTTTTTTTTGCAATGAACATATTAAATAGTCAAAAATTCAAAGAACAAATTATTGATACTTTATAGAAAAAATCATACTCCTTCCTTCTTAAAAACCTTTTACGATTTATAATTTTGGTCAAACTGCTATCACTTTGATTATTAATAAATATACATTTTAATAACTAATAATTTTAAAATTTTTATATATCAAAATTATATTTTAAATATACTTTTTTCCCTATAATTTAATTTCTGTCAAAACGTATAATCGTTCAATCAAAAAAGTTAAAGTAAAAAAATGTTTTTTCGAGGAGATAGTATATAAAAATTGTCAATCCTTAACATGCATCAATCTAAGGTTGGTGTGTATTGAGTGAAACTCTATGTACAAAAACTATTTTAGTTTTGAAAAGTAGAGGACTTACATGTCACCTTTCTTTGGCGTTTTGGCCATTTTTGGCACGTTTCACCTCTTGAGTTTATTTAAAATATAAAATGTGTGTTTGATTAACGTTTTTTTACTGTGTACTCATTCCGTTCATGAGTATTTGTCTAGGTTTGACTCTTTTTAGTCAAAATTAGTAGACTTTAATTTCAAATTAAATAAAAATAATATTAAATATTGGTATATAAATAGCTTTATTAGATTTATTATATCAAATATTTTCAAAATATTATTTTATTTAATTAATGTACAATATATATTTTATTTGATTATAGGTCAAATCTTGAAAGTGGTTGATCGAGAAAAGTCATGACTGGACAAATATTCAGAGACGGAGCTAAGCTAGTATGATCTATGGATATGTGAGACAACTACTTTGGCTTGTGAGAGATCGAAGGGGCACTTTGCACACCAAAGTTTGCAGAGGGAAGTAGTTTTTGACAAGTTCTTTTACAAAATGAAAAAAAGTCAACTGAAAGTGATTAATACTCCCTCCGTCCTATAATGATCTTCCCGGTTCGCAAAACGAAGAAAAATCCCAAGTTTTTTCAATCTATTTTATTTAAATATTGGTATAGAAATAAAAAATAAAACAAACATATTAAAAAATTACACCAAAAGTTCAACAAAACAAGTGGTGACAAGAATATTTTATTTTATCATAAAGGCCATGAAAAAACACAAATAAATATAAATTCCCGTGAAGTTGGAATAGTGCTCTGGGAAGATCATTAGGCCATCTCCAATGGGATGCCCAAAGGAGATGCTCAAAGGAGAGAGAAGAAGATGTTTAAAGGTGCCACTATTGGAGATGGGTGCTTAGAGGAGGTGTTCAAAGAAGAAAGAGAGTGAGAGATGCTCAAGAGAGCACCTGATGCTAGCATTCAAAATCATGTGTGCATTCTTTTATTTTTTGTAAAATAAGCTTTTTTTAATAGTACACTCTCTTTTTAATGTTTTTTTTCTTTTCATTTTTGTGTCTCTTTTTTNTTTTATTTTATCATAAAGGCCATGAAAAAACACAAATAAATATAAATTCCCGTGAAGTTGGAATAGTGCTCTGGGAAGATCATTAGGCCATCTCCAATGGGATGCCCAAAGGAGATGCTCAAAGGAGAGAGAAGAAGATGTTTAAAGGTGCCACTATTGGAGATGGGTGCTTAGAGGAGGTGTTCAAAGAAGAAAGAGAGTGAGAGATGCTCAAGAGAGCACCTGATGCTAGCATTCAAAATCATGTGTGCATTCTTTTATTTTTTGTAAAATAAGCTTTTTTTAATAGTACACTCTCTTTTTAATGTTTTTTTTCTTTTCATTTTTGTGTCTCTTTTTTCCCCGGAAAAAATCTTTCCATTTATTTATACAAACCCATTTTCCTAAGTTTTTTTCTTTTCTTTTTCTTAACTTGTAGTGATACCATAAAAAATTGTTAGCTTTGGTTTGCCATAAATCTGTTTGAAATAGTCTTTCATTTGATTGAGTATGATGTGCACAAAATAAATAAATAAATAAATAAATAAATAAATAAATACTCCATAAAAAATATGACACCCTATTTTATTTTTAGTAATACCACCGTGCCTTTAATTTTTTAATCAAAATTTTTTAACAATAAAAAAAGTCATTGATAATATTTTTAATTATTTACACTATTTTTTTCTTAAAAATCTTTTAATTAATAATTAATTACTTCATATTTAACACTTGTATATATAATACAAAAATCCATAATTAATAATATAAAAATGGCATTTATATGTGAATAGGATCCACCCAAGGCATCTCAATGAGATGTCACCATTAAAAGATTTGGATGTTTAAAGAGATGCTCCAATGCTATCTTTAAAATAAAGCCCACATTTAGGCATCTAATGAGAGGTGCTACCACTGTGGATGCTCAGGACGGAGGGAGTAATGGAAGTGGTTGAGTTTTATTAAGTAAAATTCAATTGAAATGATTGTAAAATATGACTAATACTCCGTATTTTCATCTAATTTCTTACTTTGACTATTAACGAAGTCAAATGGTTTGATATAATAACAAGCATGTCAAGATTTTTTACTTCTTAAACTTGCAAGAATTTTAAATTAAAAATAGACCGATAATTATATGATTGAAGTTTATTTAAATAAGAGGAAAAAACTTGAGCCATAAATTTTCACAAATTTTATATAATGTACTCACTGTTTGCTCTAGTCATTACCGGAATTTATATGACCTTAGTCATTATGAACGTTTAAAGATCTAGGACTAGCTACTAGTTGGGTCGTCTATTGGAATTTGGAGAAAGTTTTGCTCTTGTCTTCGTGGGCAAATTTTTACGTGTTCTTAAGGGTCATGCCTATTTTATGAATCTATCATAAAGCAATTAGGTCTTTTGTAGAAAAAAATCATTTCTCCATCTATGAAAACTGTAGGAAAATTCACATTTCACCTATGGATTTTAAGACCACAAAAGAACAAGCCTCTCTTTGTGTAATATATGTACTTCTTGGGGTTCAATTTTGTTTTCTTTTTGGTAAAGCAACTACTTAGGCTACTTAGGGTTTTTAACACTAACATGACACGTTTTTTTAGGGAGACATGGCACGTTTAGTTGAGGCAAACTGGCAAAGCTTGAGTGTATAAACAGACAATAAACACCCAAGCAATTAGCTGCCAAGTGTTTGGTTGATATATGGAGGGATTTAGGCCTTGTTTGGAACAATATTTTTGATTTGCGTTAGCGTTTTGGATATGATAAAATTTTAACGGTGTAGATTAATTCTAAAGACGCGAATGCTAAAGGCTACAGTCAGATAACCTTTTTAAGATGCTAACGTTAATCTCTAATGTTGTGGCCAAACGGGGCTTTAAAAAGCAACGAGAATGACCTTATTTCGGTGAAGTGTTTCAAATAAAATTAATGTTTATGAAATAATCTTTTTAAAACGCGAAAGCTAATCACTAAAACATTTAATTTTAGTCAAACACGAACCATTTGGCTTCGTTTCTTTCTTATCTGCGATTGATTTTGTTTTTGGAGAATTTACTTAAATAGCACTAAAACATAATGATTTTCTCGAAATGACACCATATGTGTTTTTTCCCGATGTAACACTTTTAGTCATTATCCATTAGTCATTATTCAAGTAAATTTTTGCCATCATTGGACATTATTAGATGTTATCTTCCTGATTAAATTTTTAGTCAATTTACACTGAAATTAGGAGTCAACAAACTTTAATAACCTCACCTTGTTTAGAAAAAGTATACATTAAATAAAAATTAGAGTGATTTAAAAAAATTAGAGTGCTTAATTTGACCTTTTGATATGTATATATATATGTATATATATATATATATATATATATATATATATATATATATATATATAATTTTTACTTTAAAATTTTATACTGTTATTAAATTAAAAATCAACTCAGCCAAACCTCGACATCTGGAACAAGACAATAATTATGGAACGGATAGAATATATCACTTTTTAATCATTTTCGAAAACGTTTTTCCTTTATTTTTAAACTGAGTAAATATATAATCATTCACAATATTTTTTCATATAAATACTCTCTTTAATTATAGACTTTTCACATTTTGTTTTCTATTTAATGAAAACCAAACGGATAATTTATTGGAGGAAGTGTTACAAAAAGACAGCACATAGAAATGCACAACTTGGCCAAGTTGTGATAAAGACCTCTCTGTTGACTATTTAAAATTATTAATACTCCGTACTGTTGTCTTTTTGCCACAAAATTCCCTAACAATCTTCCCTCCAATATTTATTTTTTTAAATGAATTGATTCTAAATTCTAAAATGAATCTATTTGTAAATTTTACAAAACGGAAATGGTGTAAATATAGTTTAAATATTTAGTTGAGTTATTTCCTTTACAAATGAATGCAAGAAGCAATTTCTAATAGGGAGTACTTCGTTCATCTTTGAAAGAATTTGACTCGCAAAAATAAAATAAAAAATAAAAAATAATAAAAAAAATCATGTTGTTGAAATTTATTTAGAAGAGAGAGAATAATGATATCTTCATATTTATTTCCTAAAAAAGAAAGAGGAACATCTAAAGTTAATTTTTAGACATTCCAAAAAAGAAAGTGTAAAAATATTTCGTAATTCTAAAGTCCACATGTAAAATATAGGCATTTTCACACTTTTTCTAAGCTGGTAGATAGATCATTTCTTTTTTGTAAAAGCTTTGAATTTTTTATGATATCAATACATTAAAATCCATAAAATGAGTATGAATTTTAAGACTATTGTGAGAGTTTGTATCTAATGAAAGATCTTAAAAGCCAATTAAATGCATAATTAAATAAATGGAGGCTAATCACTCAAAAAATTATGGGACGTGCATGAACACAATCCAAGTTTTACCTAACATAAATCTAGTGGTAATAGTGTGATGTGCGAGGACAAAGTTTACGTACTTTTCATCAAATATCCCAATGATTGGTTTGTCCCAAAAATATCAAGGGATTACTCCCACTTGTTTATGACTATTTCAATTTCCAACCCTCTTGTAATTATCGTATCTGCCGTCAAAGAATCAATTCAACTAAAAATTCATGTTTTTGATTGTGGACCAGAAACATTGAAAGAATTGTTTGGAAGGAAATTTTCTATATTTCTCTCTTGCGTTTACAATTTACAATGAGGACATATATATAAGATCTCACAAATTGAGACTCCTAATAAGTAAAGAAAAAGGAAAAGGAAAGAATCACTATACAAAGAAAACTACCAAAATAATATATACACAAATATCTCCAAATATTCTACCAAATATTCTCTTTCCTTTAATACCCCCCTCAAGTTGGAGCATGTAGTAATGAAATGCCCAACTTGGGAAGAAGAAACTCCAAACGTGACTTTCCGAGTGCCTTGGTATGAATGTCTTCTGAAGCACATGAAGTGTACGAATCTCTCCTCGCAAGAGCTCATCACGAACGAAGTGACAATCAATCTCAATGTGCTTCGTGCGTTCGTGAAAAACCGGATTAGCAGCAATGTGAAGTGCTGCCGTGCTGTCACATCAGACCGTCATGGGGTTCTTATGCTCAACCCCTAAACACCGCAATACATTCTTCAACCACTTCAACTCACATGTAAGGACAGCCAAAGCTCTATACTCTGCTTCAGCAGACGAGCGAGCCACCGTCGACTGCTTCTTTGTTTTCCATGAGACAGGCGAGTCTCCAAGCTGCACAAACCACCCTGTCAATGACCGCCTCGTCAAAGGACATGCTACCCAATCCGAATCACACCATCCTGTGAGTTGAAGACTACTCTCTGCTGACAGAAAAATGCCCTGACCCGGACATCCTTTCAAATAACGAACAACTCTAAAGGCCGCAGACCACTGATCCTCCCTTGGTTCCTTCAAAAACTGTGCTAAAGTGTGAATGGCGTAAGAAAGTTCCGGTCGTGTAACGGAGAGATAGACCAACCTTCCTACCAACCTTCGATATGGTTCTGGATCTACAAGAACCGGGGCTTGGGAACGAGCCAAGTGATGATTTGGCTCCATCGGGGCAGCCAACGGCCTGGCACCTAACAACCCCGCCTCAGTGATGATATCTAAGGCGTACTTTCGTTGGCAGAGAAAAATCCCAGACGTGCTCCTCGCCACCTCAATGCCAAGAAAATATTTTAGTGTTCCCAAGTCCTTCATATGAAAACAATCTCCGAGATAGGCTTTGAACTTGCTCACCATCTCTGTATTATTTCCAGCAATAATCAAATCGTCAACATAAACCAAAACATGTATTACTCCTTTCTTTCCAACAAAAGAAAATAAAGAGTAATCAGAGACAGATTGCACAAATCCATATCGTCTCAATGCGCCAGACAATTTTGCAAACCAACATCTTGGAGCCTGTTTCAATCCATACAGAGACTTCTTGAGTTTGCACACCATATTAGACGAACTTGAGAAACCGGGCGGCAACCTCATATACACCTCATCCTGAAGATCTCCATGCAGGAATGCATTGTGAACATCCATCTGATGCAATTCCCATCCCTTAACCGCTGCGACTGCTAAAAGGGTTCGCACAGTGGTCAACTTGACTACAGGAGCAAAGGTTTCTTTGTAGTCAATACCTTCAACCTGGTGATTACCAAGTATAACAAGCCGAGCCTTGTATCTTTCCACACTGCCATCAGACTTGCGCTTGATTTTATACACCCACTTGCATCCAAGAGCCTTCTTATGACGTGGGGGATGAACAAGGGACCACGTGCCATTAGCTTCCAACGCATCAATTTCTTCTCGCATGGCCTTCCTCCATCGCTCATCCTGGAATGCCTGTTTGAAGTTTCTAGGCTCTATTTCTTCATCAAGCGCTGTGAGGAAACACTTATGTTTGTGAGAAAACTTCTCATAAGTGACATATGAAGAGAGTGGATATCTGCACTTCTCTCCGATATGTGGACCAGCAACATGTGTAACATAATCCGCAAGCCTCACATTTGGGCGCCTTTCCCGTTGATCACGTCCCAAGGTCTCTGCTACTTTCGGGGGAGAGGACGGTCGACCGCCATCCGTGAAACGGTCCACGGGGTCGACCGTCTGAAAGGATTCCTGAGCGTCTTCTTTCTGCCTCAGAGACGGTCGACCGTTCTCCTCTTCACGGTTGACCGTTTCATCATCCCTCTGGAGCCTATCTTTCTGCCCTTCAGACGGTCGACCGTGGTCATCAGAACGGTACACCACGTCGACCGTTGGTTGCACTCCGAGAGGTCCGTCTTTCTGCCTCTCGGACGGTCGACCGTGGACATCAGGACGGTCTACCCGGTCGACCGCCTGTAGCTCGCCTGCCTCACTAGTCTCCTCCGGTCGACCGTTCCTCGTGGAACGGTCCAGCTGCTCTTCCGCCGGCATCGCTTCATCATCTTCGAAGTGATCGATCAAAGGGGAACTATTCGATCCACTCTCATCTGGGATTTCACCTGCGAAAATCAAGTAAGGAAAAATGTTTTCACAAAACACAACATCCCGTGACACACTGATCTTCCCAGTGTCCGGGAAATACACCCGCCAACCCTTCTTTCCTTGTGGGTATCCCAAAAATATTCCAGGAATACTTCTGGGTGCAAATTTATCTCCATCTCTTTTCAAATTGTGTACATAACATCTGCAACCCAAAACACGTATGTGAGTCCTCGTAGGGACCGTTCCATAAAGCTTCTCATACGGTGTAACCCCCCCTAGCAAAGAAGAGGGTGTTCTATTGATCAAATACGCCGCAGTTTGTATACAATCTCCCCAAAATTCAATGGGAAGCCCTGCCTGAAATCTTAGAGCTCGACCCACGTTCAGAATATGACGATGTTTACGTTCTACTCTTCCATTCTGCTGCAGTGTAGACACACAAGATGTCTCATGAATAATTCCTTGTTCTAGAAAATATTCATTCAAGCATTCGAATTCTGTGCCATTATTGTCACTGCGAACACATTTTATTTTCTTCCCAAACTGACGTTCAACCATGGCACAAAATTGTTTAAAAACGCTTCCTACTGTCCGCTTAGAATCAAGCAAATGTACCCACACGCCGCGAGAAAGTCATCCACTATAGTCAAAAACATGGTAGAATCATTCAAACTCGGTGTCTGATAAGGACCCCATAAATCACAATGCACCATATCAAATATCTCCAAAGATTGATGGAAACTGATGGGAAAACTAGCACGAGTTTGTTTAGCACGTAAACAAACATCACAATGACTATGGCTACTTTTATTCGGACCAACTCCGGGAACTAAGGACAAAACATGCGAAGAGGGATGTCCTAGACGCTTGTGCCAAAGATCAAAGGAATTCACCTTCTTAGCACTGCACGCCATGCTACTTTCATCTTTCTTTAAATAGTACAATCCTCCTTCATGTCTCCCTACACCAATCGTTGTCCTCAAATTTTTGTCCTGTAATATGCACACATCATTGGTGAACTTTGTCTCACAGTTCAAATCCCTCGTCAGCTGTGAGACAGAGATCAAATGGCACTTCAAATTTGGAACAAACAACATACTCTGTAAAGTCAAAGTCCTTGTCAAATCAACTTTTCCAGATTGAACAGACACTACCCGTTTTCCATCGGGTAACCCAATTTCACATGGAGTCACACCCACCACATCATACAATAACAAAAGATCACCTGTCATATGATTTGATGCTCCCGTATCAATAATCCAACGTGGTGACACAGAAATACCTGTAAGTTTCTGATTGATGTCTGTAGGGGATAGTGTAAGGGCGTGACGAACAGCGTTCCACTGTTCCATAGTCAGATCCTCGAAATTGGGCAACGGCGAATATCCCTTTTTCTCTTCTTCCTCATTCTTGTTGAGAGTTATCTTCATGGATGCCTCTTCAGACATACCAGATGACACGGGCTTATAATGGATCGAACAGCTGCAGCAACTGAAGAATCTGCCGTCGGGACGGTCGACTCCTTCGACCGTTCCTCTCTGACGGTCGATCGTTCCGGTCTTTCGGCAACACCACTAAGTGACGACCGCTGGACGCGATGCCGGGCGATCGTGCACAGTAACCGCGAAAATCCTCTAGGTTTTGGCTCTGATATCATGAAAGAATTGTTTGGGAAGAAATTTTCTGTATTTCTCTCTTGCGTTTACAATTTACAATGGGGACATATATATAGGATCTTACAAATTGAGACTCCTAATAAGTAAAGGAAAAAGAAAAGGAAAGAATTCATATACAAAGAAAACTACCAAAATAATATATACACAAATATCTCCAAATATTCTACCAAATATTCTCTTTCCTTTAACAAATATTTCTTATATTTTAACACGTCCTCTCACGTGCAAGCGTAGTCTTTTTTTAGCATTGCACGTGAAACCTAAATTTTTTTAAAATTGGGAGGCGCTGAGGTTTTGAACCTCTGACGTCTTTGTCAACAAGACTCTGATACCATGTCAAAGAAGCTTTTGGTTGTGGCCCAGAAAATATTTTTTATATTCTAACATGTTTTATTACTCCGCACTTTAACTATAAATTACCCAAAAAAAATGTTTAGTTATAATATAATTTTAGTATAATTGATTTCATTTAATTCCCAAATGCTTAGCTTAATGTTGGCAAAATCGGCCGATCAATGTATGTTCCGTACATACATATTTGATACTGACCATACATATTGACCGACCACGTGCATTTTTGTACCATAAAATGTTCATGAGAAAATTTTTTTTCTTCACAATTTTATGAATTAATCTTTGATTTTCTTATTTTTAGTATGAATAAATATGCATGATGAATAGTAACACAAGTGAAGTAAGAATGTTTAATAAGTTGCGTTTCATTAAACCATAATTTCGTTATCTTTCAACTCCCTCTCTTCTACATACGTAAAAATCAAATCAGATGGTTTTCTTTATGAATTGCTTACACAGAATCAAACAAACTTGAGAAAAATAAGTCATTCACAACAGTATTACTCACAAAACATCAATTTTAAAAGAGGGACTCATTTGCAAATTTTCTTTAATTTTAAATAAATTCAAAAAAAACATTTTTTTAAAAAGGGATTAGTTACAAATGTTCTTGATCAATAAAATAGATTTCACACTTTTTTTGAAGCTTATAAAGTTCCAAACGAGCACAAGTGGAATACCTAAAATGGCATAAAAACAAGAGTATTTATGAGAATCTCTAATTCAAACACAGAAGTACAAGAAAAAAGTTCCAAACACTACTTCAAAAATTGTCATTCATTATCCAAAATTTACAAAAACAAAATGACTAAAAAAAGGAAATTACCCTAAATAGGAATAAAACATTAAGAAAATACCAAAATAAGAACTCCATATCTTTATATCTAAAATAGAAGTTTACATTGTAATAAATTAATAATGGCACACTATATGTGGACATTTCAGAATACTTTTCAGTAATATATATGGTCATGATTATCACTGTATATACATTTTAACTCTTATTTTGAGAATAAAAACATGGAGTTCTTATTTTGGCATATTTTCAATGTTTTACTCTTATTTAGCTCTTTTTCCCAATGATACACTAAAAATTTTACAAATGATGGTTCCAAAAATACCTTCCCATTTGAAATCTCCATGAAAAGTTCCAATCTTTGGATTAATATTACACTGGATCAGTCATCTGAACTATAGTCACTAGAATCTTGCAGTACCGGTAGAGCAGCACAGCAAAACTGCTCCTTGTCTCTCAGAAGAAGGCAACTCCCATCCGAATTCCATCGCAGGTCCATCACGGAGAATTGAGGCAAAGGGACATTTATGCAACAAGCGCCAGAGGGTGTCCACATGTACAAATGTGGGCTCCCCGTGCATAGGACGAGGCGCGTGGAGGACGGGTCCCACGCCACTGCCCTAATAGGGTCTTTTTGTATCAAGATGGATGCCAGCTCGAGACGCTGTGTGTCCCATATCCAGAGGACAGTTGGCATGCTGTCGTTGCGGGTGCATATGTATTGGCTGTCATTGCTCCATGACATTAGACCTGTTGAAATGAAGAGAAGGACCATAGTTCCTGCTTAATATATGCCTTGAGAGTGGAGTTGGCTAATAAAGTTAATGGGTGCTGAAAGTACAAGGGCTAAATGGGTCAAAACTGCATGGTCTAGTTCTTACACAACTGCATGTTTCAACAACAAGCTCAATAAAATCCCAAAAAGCAGAGTGGGGGGAGGGTGTGTCTTACCCCTACTAGAAAAGAGAGAGGTTTCAAGAGACCCCGGCTCAAACACCGACATACAAAGTAAATAGAGTAAACAAAATAAACACAGTAGCACGAATACAGTGAATTTCAAAAGATGAAGTGTTTCAAACAAGTATATATGTTAAAGTTGGTTTTAAAACAAGTATAACAACAACAAACCCATTTAAATCCCACAAGAGTGTTTTTTTAAAGCCACAAGAGTGGTTGGTTTAAAGACGTGTAAATGAAGAGAAACAAACTCTATAAAGGATTTTGTTCATTTGCAAGAGTTGCGCCTACCAAATACTCCCTCCGTCCCTCTAAGATCTTCTCATTTTGACTTTATGTGATTTTTAAGGAGAGTTGAAAAAAAGGTAAAAGTTTACCATAATACCCTTAATGAAAATGGGTGGAGTGTATTAAATGAGATGGGTGAGGTGTAATAAATAAAGTGGGGGTAGTTGTGGTATTTTGATTGTTAAAAGATGAAATGAGAAGATCTATTGTGGACAAAGAAAAAGAGCTATTGAGAAGATCTATGGGGGACGGAGGGAGTATAAAGCAGCATAGTTAAATAAATGAACTCTAGATTTTAAAAATAAAATATGAATCAGAATCTTCCTCACCGATTCCCTGCTTGGGGTTTGGTTTATCTACAGCTGGTTTCTGATAAGGCAGGGTAATGGGTACTTCCATAACATCATATCTGACCTGAATTTGCCTTTCAGGAGCTTCGTCTGGAAAACAATAAATCAAGCAAAAATCCTTAGAAAAATAGTTTTTGGATTTTAGATTAAACATAATGACCGACGAAGCAATTTTTTTCCTTCAATGGACACAAAGGAAGTTGAGTGTTTACTGTTGTTTTGATTGACAAAATCATCACTCAATGATAATTCTGCCAGATCAAGTTGGAATGGCTCATCTACTTCCTGAAAAGTGAAAAATAGAGGAGTTATGAAATGTTTTGCATTAAGAATGACGGTGTCCCTTATCTGCAAAATTAATGGTCTGATTGAATTCCGGGGAATGATAGAGATAAATTATAGGATGAAAAATCGAGAGGAAATTTCGAAGGAAAGAAAATGAGACGAAATAATAAAAGATTGCAGCGGATAAACATATCAGATATCAGGCCTAGATCATTGTTCAAATTCATTTATTTAAATCATTGGGGTTCTTTTGACATCCAAAAGAGGTCAAACAGAGCACCCTAGGACCCTCAAATCATCTGGTATTAATATGACACCGGGTAATGTAGTCAAAAGATCCTCTATTTAAATATTTACTCTAAAATTTGATTTTCCTTCATATCTATCAAGGTAACATCAAATATAAAAAAAGCAATTATCTTATTTTTATTATTTGACTTCCTTTCCCTTTTCTGAGTTCCAAACAGGCAAACATAGCCTAAGCAAGAAGGCATTTACCTTAAAAACAGCAGCAGAGCAAGGACCTCGAACTACAGTCAAGTGCACGAATTCTGCAAATACTTTCCATGTTAAGTGATTCAGAATTCGTAGCATTTGGTCATAACTACCAACTGCTAAATATTGGCTGCAAGGTGACCATGAAACACTTTTCACACCCAGGCCACACTCATATGCTTGATACTTAGCTAGACACCGCCCATCAGCCGAATATATTAAAACCTAAAGAAAAACACAACTAATATAATTGTGAAACATATATGCTGATTGTACAGTGAAAATAATATAAAAAAAGAAATGCTTTTATCTATTATGAGTTGTTGGAAATTGGACATGTGGTTTCCAAGCTCATTATTACTACCTATGTTCCCAAAAAACCTTACTAGACCAATGCACAAGTTATTTTCAGTAAGATAAATTGTGATAAATTATGAATCGTACTTGTATTTTTTTACTCCGGGTTTTTTTATTGGTTCAAATAAATCGACCATATCTTGCTTGTGATTTTTTGGCATATTACATAGAAATATAGATTATTTTTTATCAATGTAAGTTCTTTTTATGGGACAAAAGAAGAGTTTGGAACAAGACTTTTTTACACAGATGAGTAATAAAACGCTGCCTTTACATTGGTAATTAGCACTACAGTCCTGCTTTTTTGAAATGCGAGCAAAATGTTCACAATAATGCATTTTCCGAATCAATTAAGTAATGAAAATAACAGATCTTGACAGAAGGAGAGAACATTATTATGAAAGGAGCACCTTATATTCAAGAATCGAATCCCAAATCACGATGGCACTATCATCTGGTGACCACTGTATATCAACCAAATCAAGAGTGTCCACAGCAAAAACGCCCATTATCTCCCATGTCTGGCAAGATAGCAGATTGACATAGTCTTTACAATCACGTCTTGTGCAAATTGCAGCAAACTTCCCATCCTTGGTGAAAGAGACCCCCTTAGATCCGTGCTTTGGCCATTGAATGTGTATGCATGCAGTGTTGAGTAGTGACCATACAGTTAACCGCAGTTGGAATTCAGATGTTGTCAATATGTGTCGACTGTCCGGGCTCCACCTAGCATAAGAAATGCCCGCAATGCCTTCATCTATTTTACATGTCCATTCTGGGTGTGTGAGTGACCATGCCTGGATCATTGGTTTCTTGTAAAGGCCACAAAGGATGTATTGTGAATCGGGAGCCCATTCGATGTACGTGATCTTATGCAAGCATGAAAATAGTTGCACCACCTATATTATGCAAGTTGAGATCACAAACAGATTTTCAGTTCCAAACCACAACTCAGCTGAGAATAGAGTCTTGAATAAAGATATTGAGATGCCCTTTAACTCCCAAAAGCCACTCCAAAACCATATAATTACTGATTGGACCTCTGCTATGTTTTATCATTCACATCTGGTTTACAATCGATGCATGCTCATCATTTCGTGTATGACCTCTTTTATGGAGGGTGTAAAAATACCATCTAAATTGTTTACTTTATTTGTGGGTCTGTGTTTGAGCCGGGTCTGCTAGACAACAATCTCTACACATCCAAGTAGGGGTAACGTCGGTGGGTTGGTCGTACGCACCCCTCCATAGACCCTACTTTTGAGGGATTTTAATGGGTTTGTTGTTGTTATTTACATCATTAAATTTTAAAAAATTAAACAAAACACAAATTCAAAGTTTATGGATCCATATAACCTACTAACATCATGAGGTACTATAATAAAAGAAGACATTTGATAGGCATTCAGTCATTAACCGACTGAGCTTACAACCAAAAGTTCAAGCGAGAATTGAATCGTTTTGCTCTATCCCTCTTCATATCGGAGTCTAAAATCGAATGCAAGCCAGGAAAAGAAGGAACTGAATCTAACAGATTAGCATTTCGACCTTGTTCATAGAAAGTTCGCAGCTCGTACCTTGAGAGAGAGCACATCCCGAATCACGAGGCGGTAATCGACCGCCACGGCGAGAAATCGAGCATCTGGAGAGAAAGCGCAAGGCCCGGACTGTTTGTATGCTTCTGTAAACTCCATGGAAGCTCGAAAGCAGCAAGATTTGCTTCAGATGTATTGGAATCTCACATTTCTGATCTCCTCTTTCTTCTTTTCTAAGGGTTCCATTCCATACTTCTGAGCCGGTTCAGTGGATCTGAAGGAGGGTAGGATTCAAGTCATCTCAATTTTACTAGAATCGCAGATGATTCTACAGTTAAAAGCACGGGTTAAAAACTGTGCATTCGAATTTTCAATTGCGATGAACTAATCGGGTCGATCCATCCCGGAACGTGGATCCTATTCCGTCCAAATGTTGTTTGGGTTCACAATTTTTTTTGTCTTAGACCCGTCCCAAATCAATTTAAAATGAAAAAGAATTGGGAGATAAAATTTGTAAATCTTTTTAGAGTAATTTATTTAAATAGGACTAAAACATAATGACTTTTTCAATATAAGGCTATATGTTTTTATTTCCCAATATAGGACCATTGATCATTATCTATTAGTCATTATTCAATTGAATCTTCAGCAGCACTTAGTCATTATTCTTCTTACTAGTCATTATTAAGTTCTATTTAAAAAATAAAAAAGATTAAGTCCTACATTAGGAAATGACTTATGTTTTAGTCCTATTCAGTGCAAATTTCACATCTTTTTAGTACATTTTATTTAATGGTTTATTATAGATGTTTATATTAAGCATTCAAATTATTATTTAGAGTACAAATTTTTATGTTTCCAATTTACTCCATCCGCCCAAAAATAAACGTTCCGCTATGACTTTACACGCAAATTAAGGAAAAAGTAAAAAATATTTTGACTTTTCATATACTATCTCTGTCCTAGTGTATTTGTCCAGTTTGATTTTTTCGAGTCAAACTGGACAAATTTTGAACTGCAATTACTCTCAATTTATATTGCATATTAGCATAATGAAATACAATTTTGAAAGTTCTCAATATGATAAATCCAATAAAGTCATTTTTATGTTAAAATACATTCCAATTTTTATTTAATTGAAGCTTAAAGTTTGTCTAGTTTGACTGGAAAAAATCAAACTGGACAAATACACTGGAACGGAGGGAGTATGTCCTTGAGTCATTGCAAAAAGTGAAATAAAGTGTGACTATAGATAATAATTAATGAGTAAAGGTGAAGGTAGTTATGTAGTTTAAAGAAAAAATCTTTACGGCAACGGAAAGATAATTTATGGACATACACATAAGAAAAGTAGGAAGATAAATTATGGACGGGTGGAGTATAGTAAATCTAAATATGCAGATCTTGAACCGTGTTCTGAATTATCCCAATCCCAAAATAAATGAGACAAAATAGTACTCCGTATTATGTTTTAAAATAATGAAAATATGATTATTAGACACTCAATTTTGTCATTTGAAATGATTATTTTCAAATGGAGTGAATGATTTTTTTGTTTCATTACTTGATAGGGTGTACTTAGTTTATGGTGAGCTCATTATACATTTTAGAATTACATCACGAATTTGTTTTTGTTTTTTTGTAAGATTTAAATCACAATTTACCAGCACTACTCTGATACGGGAAAAATCATACAAAAATCAATTCGAATGGTGTATTGACTAAATGTTTGTGGTTGTTACTTGTTTTCTTCGTATTATAAAGACAACAAAAACAAGAAAACGACGTTTAGATTAATTTTAGTGTTATGGACTAATTATAAAGACAAACACTAATAATTACAGGGAGATAACATTTACAAAATGTTGAACATAAATGCTAAAATTAAAGTCAAAACTGATTCATTGGGACCCATTTTGGGTGAGCTTGAAATACTGGTCCAAAACAATGGTTGTGGAAAATTTGATACTTGGAAGTATAAAAAGTGCCAAGACCAAAGCTCTTTGAAGTTAGTAATGCATAACTAATAAACTAATACGGTGTACGTAGTAAAACTACTCCGTACATCACAAATTAGAAGATATCAATAGATCGACTGTGGACCAAAAGATATTACGTTCAAGTAAAAGTGTATCAGAGCCTAAGATCATAGGTCCGATCTCATTGTGGAAGTGGTCAGCCTAGGTCGGCTAAGCCAGACACGTTGGCAAAATGACATAATGTGAGGCACATGGTTGGCCTTGACGGGTTCAAATGGTCAGCCAGAGGCACATGGTTGGCCTCGACAGGTCCAAATGGTCAGCCATATGCGCTCAGTACAAGGGAGAATCTATGGTAAGTGGGTAGACGGACAGGCTTGGCGGTTTGATATACTTCGTATCTGCTTATTGAGATTTGACACCTGGTGGTGCTAAATGCACCCCATTATGACTACATCCACTCCATTTAATGATTAAATAGACATTTATGTCCTTAAAACGCACAGAAGAAATATTAGTTGTTAGCCTACTTTTAAGGGCAAGTTTGTCCATTTTACATAAATGAAGTGGACTTGGCCATAATAAGAATGGATATAGTGACACCCTTAGACACCTGCACACATCTTTCTTTCTCTTCAAATAACCCTCTCAGGTATGTAGGGAGGGGATAAACAATTGGGCATTCATCGATCATTCTCACAACCACAATAAACAATAAACCCAGTAAAATCTCACAAAAATAAGGTATGAGGAGGGTTTATGTACACAACAAACCTTACTCCTATTCAAAAAGAGAAACTATTTCATAAAACTGACCACTCTCTACCTGGGTTCCTAGAATCCATGATATATGAAGTATATGTACAAAATACTTTTTTCCCAGAAAAAACGAGGTAATCCATGGAAATATAAGCCAACATTCACTTGCCAAACACCTAGCCGAGTTCTAAAAGTCGGTCAAATTCAAAATTATGATGGATTAGTTTATATACTCGGTATTTTTTACCAAACAAAGCCCATTTTGCTATGTAATATTGTGATCTGAAAACAACAAAAATGGCAATTGAGAAGAAGGCCTACTCGCCAACATTAGACTTACTTGACAAGTTGCACATCCAATGTGAGCTTGAGGAAGACCACACTTGGCAAAAAACATGACATGGTTAAGAGAGTGAGAAGGTGTGGCAAGTGTCGACTCACTTCTCCGCCTGCCCAAAGTATCTACCGGATATTGTTGCCAAAATGTTCAGCATGATGACATCTTCGTCCACCATTGTTTTTTCAGCTCTCAAGGACGCACATTTCCGGAGCAAAGATCTGAGGGCAGCCGAGGTTTCAGCATGAAGTGGAGTGTCAACGGCTGCACACAACCCAAATAGCCACAGGCAATCGTCCCTTGAGACTGTGGTTGCACTTTCAAAGGCTGTTATCTTCTTCCTGAGAACTGAAACTCGAGTCACCGGTTCCATCCCAGAAATAACTGAAAGTGTTGGCCATGAATTTTTCAGGACATTATCCTCGCCAACATCGCTTTGCCCTCCTTGGTCATCCCCAGATGTTATGCTATAAAAATTTTCAATGATGTCTTCGGTTACTTGATCATGATGAGTGGAAACTATGGGTAGGGAACTAGGAATGTTAACACCAGAACCTTCTAACTTTGATAAAGCCTGAAAAGATGGATTCAAATGTAATTTCCTTCTTAGTCATGCTTCTCCATGTTCGGAAAATATGTAAATGGATCAGAAATAGTAAATACAGAACCTAATCAAGAAATGATGGAAAAAGTTCATGCATTATATCATTAAAATACTACCACGTTCGTCCCAAAAAAGAGTCTTGTTTGGTCAATGTATCTTTTAAATTTTATCAAGTTACAAGTCTTAAAAGTCATGGAGTCCTAGCTAGTCCTACACATAGTTTCGAAATCTTTTGTTGTCTTTACGAAGATTGTCATATTCAAATTGTTTCTAACTCTTTTTTATTTGAAAATTACATGGATAATTAGTTCCGTTTGATCAAATCTGACTTTTTTGTGCAAATCATATAAGCAGTGAGTTTTGTTTAATTAGATAAGATTAAATATGGGACTTTTTTAAAAAAATTGCAGACTTGTATTGAAACCAATTTTAAACCAACCAATCTTATGTTATTCATCTAGTCTTGCAACACTATGAGATGAAGATGCTTACTTGATGTTAGGATTTGAACCTACGACCAGTCAGTTAACAGCCGACCGCTCTACCACTGAGCTACTGAGGAACAACGGATTCGTTTCAAACGTTGAACTATGTTCAACTCATTTCGTTTCACTATGTTACACTCATTTCGTTTCAAAAAACTCATTCAGAGCAACTTCGTACGTTGGTCGAATGAGTTGAACTATGTTCAACGAATCTTCAAAGCGATTGAACTCTTCGTCTAACTACGTTCAACTCAGAAATGAGTTGTAAACATAGTTTTTACTCTACCAGTTCACATTCTTAGAGCACTGGGTATACTCCTCACGCCCACCGGCGTTACGGGGCGTTTAACGCCCCGGGGGCGTGAAACACCGCCCCCCGCCGGCGTTAAAGGGGCGTGAGGAGCCCTGCGTCAAACGAATGACGCGGCGTGAGTCTTCTCCCCTCCCTCCTAACGGCTTTTTTAGCCGTTGCAGCCCACATTTCAAAAAAAAAATTCCTATAAATTCAACCCCCCCCCAAACCAATCTCTCACACCTTCTCTTCAATCTCTTCTTCTTTATTATTTTTAAATTTCGAAATTCAAACCCCCCTTCCAAATTTCAACATGAATCCTTCCGGCTCCGGCTTCTTTCCCGACGATCTCCCGCCGAGTGACGCCGCGATGTGGTTCTACCAAGAGTGGGGCGATCGACCGCCGATCAATGAGACGCAACAATCGGGGTACGTCAACCGAGATTCGGTTCCGGAGACTCAACCGGAATTATCTACGAGCAAAGAATGAGAGAGATCAAGGAGAAATATAATTTACCTTAGTTTTTTTATTAATGTATCTTTTTTTAAATTATTGTCGCTTTTTTTTATTTAATTAATGTGTTTTTTTATTATTCGTGTTTCAATTTAATTAAATAATAAATTAATTACATTTTATTAATTTAATTTTAGAAGATGTATATTTAAAAATGTAAAAAATGAAGGTCTGAAGCCCCAGTTTGAAGCCCCGGGGCTTCAAACCCATTTCCAGTGAATTTTGGGTGTAAGTTAAAGCTGACGTGGCAGAGAGAGAAAGTTTGAAGCCCCGGTTTGAAGCCCCGGGGCTTCAAACGTATTACCAGTGCTCTTACAAGCAAAGTAAACTTCCTACAGAAATGCTTGCAGAAACTTAAGAAGATGAAGTCACTCATTTGTCTTTTTTTTTGTAATTAAATTAATTACTGACCAAGGGGTGATGTAGCAATAGGTGTGGTAAAATCCACCTCCAATTTTAACTTGTAGTTACATATAGCAAGCAATTAAGTGCCCCCACATATGGAATGAGACCCGGCACCCCCACCCTCAAAAAGAAGCAATTAAGTGCCACCACATATGGAACTACATGAAGGAAATATTTCAAATGAGTGAAAAAAAAGTAAGAAATAAATACCAGTCTCAACTGTGAGAAATCAGCAAGGAACTCATCCTCCCACTCCTTAAGGGGTAGTAAGTGCTCTAGGCAACTTGCAATATCAGGAATATTGGGCATATAAACACTCTGTTCTTTGTTTAGCTTGCTTCTTTCAAACTTTGAAACTTTCACTTTTGGCATATGTTCTGCTTCCCACCTTTGATCACAAGGCCATAAATGACATACATGTGAAGTACAATAAACTTTATGCATACCACAGTTAAAATAGATGTACCAAATATACTTCTCTTTGAGATGATGTGTATTCCCATTACATTATTTAGTTAATGCATGCCAGGCTCTTATTCTCTACTAACACTACTTTGACATCCATAATAAAACACTAATGAACTGGCCATGTTATTATCAAACCCCTGCCCTGGCAACTCCATTCTCATGAAAGAACAAATCTCTTGATGGTACTTGGAAGTGAGACAACAGAATGAATTGCAATTTGAAAAAAAAATAAAAGTAAAGCGATATATCCACATGACTAGCCAATAAAAAAGCATAAATGAAAGTTCCATAGAGAGGATACCACATTCTAAGTGTCCAAACTCCAAATACATAATAAAACATTTGGAGTAATAAGCTGCATTCAAGGGTGTAAAAGTCAGCATCAATAGCCTTCTTATGTTGTTTCTGTATTAAAATGATAATATTGTACTTCCTAAAAACAATCTAAGTCACCACTCACTAGCATGACAGCACAAAATAAACTAAAATGGTTTTCAAAACAAAACATGTATTTTACAGTGAAATATAGTTTTTGAGGCACTGTTACAGGAAGCAAGTGCACATTAGAGGGTAGAAAATTAGAATGCATGAAACTAATACTATTATGTAGTAAATGAAGCATCAATGGCTAAATCCTAAATCCAGCAACTTAGCAGCACATGATAGTTAGCTTTCATCTTCAACAGCTTAAAAATCATGTCAGAAGCATTAAGTACCTTTATCTGATAAGGTCTGGCAATACCTAATACGGAGTAGGTATGAATTAACAGATATGTGAATACTGAATAACTAAACCCTTGCATGCTTATCATGCTGGAAAGTTTGCATATAATATGGGGAGGATATTTACCTTACTCGCCTGATGTATTCAAACCCATCTTCAGGAGGACCAGAATCAAAATCCGGCTCTCCAGCAACAAAAAATGCAGGCCTTTGGATGCTACTGTAATCATCATCACTGTCATCGTAGTCATTGTCTTCTCCCTCTACAAATGAGTCCTCGTTTTCATTTCCCATGGGACACCCCGTTACGGGATCGAACAGGTTTGTGCTTTCTTTCTGAGCATTTTCCCTGCCACCTGTGGTTTATTGTCTATTAGCTATATTCATTCGACAAATTCAAGACTACTTCAAAAAACAAAGCCTCCATTCACAGTTTCACTCCATGCCTTGAACACTTAATCAATGAAAGATATAATGCCCGTTTAGCATTTTGAAATGGTTATGTAAAGGCAGTGCTTAGGTTTTGCATTTTCAATGTTAATTTGCACCATCAAAAAATCACCTAAAATGCTAACACTAATTGAAAATGTTGTCCCAAGACAAGTCCATGAATAGAAATCGCTAACATTTTACATCAAATCAAGCAGAGAATGAGAAGCAATACCAGATGAGACATGGCTCCTAGCCTTGCCGAGCTGTTGCCGCGGATTAAAGTTTACTAAATTCTTCTTCTGAGTGGCGGAACGAAGGAGGCCATCGTACTCCTTCTGCACATCAATCCCTAGGCCACTGTAAACCTCGATCCACTTCTTCATCTGCCCTTCTATATTCAAAAACCTCATCGCTTCCAGCTCCTTCCTCGAGTAAACTCCCCTCTCATCGTATCGCATCAACTTCGCGATATCAGAAACAACTGCGGCCTTTCCCTTCCGGTATGACTTGTCCATTCCTTCTTCTGCTCCGACTGGATTCTCAAAATTGTCCGCAAAGGCATGCCGGATGGCGTCGTCGGCGTGAAAGACTGTATGTATTTCCGCTTCTGAGATGCACTTCTGGATGTGCTCGGTTTGTTCATTATCGCCGTCGATGTTTAGCGGTGATCCTTGAAGAATATTTCCCGGCACGCTCATCATCTCCTTCCTTTCTTTGATACACGGACTGTAAGCAATCGGAAATATCGGAGATATAGAGGCCAGGCGGGCACGACGCCGGGTAAAGGGGTTTTGGGTTTTTGCGGTGAAATGTAAAGGCTTTACCCACTGCATAAATACATTTTGAGTACTTTAGCATACATTGTCATTTTGGATGATTGAATACTTATTTTTGAATATTCTGTATTTATTAACAAATAATTGAATCTTCATTTTTTGAATACCTTTAGGTAGTGTTTGGATAGTGGAATTCATTTCAATTTTTGAATTTCAATTCTATAATTTGAAATTCCATAATGGCATGTTTGGGAACATTGATTTGGATTTCAAATCCGGATTTGACTCAAATTCCATGTTTGGGAAATTCAAAAATTTTGAATTTGGATTTGAGTCAAATTCCTCTCATTTATAGCAAAGCTTAATTTGAAATCCATGCACCTCCCCTTGTCATTTGAAATTCAAGATTTCAAATCCTGGAATTGAAATGCATGAATTGAAATGAAATGCTAGTTGCCAAACACTACCTAATGGTATGTTTGGGAACATGGATTTGGATTTCAAATCCGGATTGGGTTTAAATTCCATGTTTGGGAAACTTAAGCATTTTGAATTTAGATTTGAATCAAATTCTTTACATTCAAATCCAAGCTTAATTTGAAATTCATGCACCTCTCCTTGTCATTTGAAATTCAGTATTTCAAATTTTGGAATTGAAATGCATGAATTGAAATGAAATGCTAATTGCCAAACACTACCTAATTCAAATTCCATTTTGGTGTTTGGCAAACACAAGAAATTCAAAATTCATAATTTCAAATCCAAATGCTGTTTGGCAAATTCATAATTTCAATTCTAGAATTCAAATTCTGATGTTGTTTGGCAAGTACTAGAATTTCATTTCACATCTTTAATGAATAAAATATTGTAAACATAATCTCAAATAACATAATGACCAATTGTTTCATAAACAAAATACATACTAATGTATGACAATTAGAAAAAGTATTAATTTGTAGTAAATATTTAATATTGCGTAGTTATTCATAACTCAATCACTCTTCCAAGCACAATAAAATCCAATCTAGCTTCTCGTCTTCAGGCAAGTCCTTGAGCATTTGAAACTCATCTGGCATATTCATAAACTTCTTAACAGCTTTCAACACTTGATGACGAAGTATGCCATCCACTTTTGAAACAACATCATGGATTTCTTTCCCGCTCGCCTTTGAAGTCATATTGATCTTGCTTTGAACATATTCGTTGAATGAGTTCGCGAAACTAGTAACTGCCTCTGCAAGACGATCTTTCTTCACCCTCTTCGATATAGAGCCTGTTGACGTGCTCATTCCTTCGCTCGTCATCTCATCATCCATGGCTGTCGCTGCTTCGTCAAATTGTTCTGCGCCATCCCCTAATGCTCTATCCGCTCCAAAGAGAGTACAAATATCATCCCAATTATCTATAGCCTTATTTCTATAGGAACTTGCTGGTGGATGATTCTGCATGTAAAAAAAAGTGTTAGGAAACCCTTTTTGGCCACAAAGGCAAGGGGCAATCTGTTGCACATGCCATTAGGCAAAAAGTAACAGGAAGTGACACACACATATTAGAGGAAGCAAAGTCAATCAATCTGTCATTAACTGCGCTTGGAAAATGCATCAATGCATTGGCAGAGAACAATAGCAAATAGTATACAATATTCTCTCTATTTGTTCATATTTTTAAAAAGTACATTATCAGACCTGCACCTATACTGGCAACCACCCAAAACAACACATACTAGCAGTATCCCAGCAGTAGGAGATGGTATTCATAACCTTGATAAATTAACAATGAGTCTGAATCTGAATCTGATGTACTTCTAAATACCATACTGAAAGCTTAAACACACAATGCATAGAATTAACACCAAATTTTATAAGTAGCAATAATATTACCTTGCAATATTCGTTCCAATCTTTCAAGTCGTCTATGTTGATTGTCAGCATTTTCCTCTCCTCATCCCACTTAAACTTTGTGGCAGTTCGAATGTCTGTAATAATACTATAATGCTTCTTCCAACACTTGATCCGATTCTTCACATGTTCCACCGTGACCGATACACCCAATTGAGACCTTAGTTTATCAGCTACAGCTTGGTAAGCTTGTGGCTTCCAATCTCCATCGCCCTTGTTGCCCTCTTTGATTTGGTCGTATAACACCGAAATGAGTATCCCATCCATTTGTCCATTCCAAGTGAGATAACTCCTTTTCTTGCCTTGTGTAAAAGCCATAACTTCTTTCTCTTTATTCATCACCTAAGGACGTTAACAAATTAGCAAACAAATTTCAAATCAATAGCAAGGTGATGATGTGAAGCTTGAGAAACCATTGTTGGAAAAAGAAAATAGTTTCAGGGCTATGAAAAAAATTTGATTTTTATCAAGAATCAACAGCTTATTCAAGATCCAAGAGGGAAATAAAAGGGTACTTATGCATGCTTTAAATAATGACCAGGCTGATATTTACTCTGATCCATCAGTTTTACCTGCAATTCTTCCTAGTTCTACACGCATAAATAAATCTTATGCACAGCCCAAGGAAATAATACTTTCACTCAATGATTGGCAGAGAAGCCACCACATCCACAGAGGAATCAAAAATTAATAAATGCAAACAATCCAAACATGCTTTAAATAAAAGGGTACTGCAAACAATCCAAATATGCTTTAAATAATGCTTGAATTATAACATGATTAAAGCAAAACACCGAACTGGAAAAATTAAAAAGCAGTTGAGAATTGTTAAAAACAGAAGTTATGGAGGTTTCATATTTCACAATCAACTCCATTACACTTGGGAATTTCTTCGAGATTCATACTCAACAAACATTTTTTTGGCAATTTCATCCCTAAAATCGTTCCACTGATTTGACACACGTGCAGTTGATACAAAGTCATCCTCTTCCCCATCTTCGACATCAGGAGCCTCGGCATTTAATAAGTCCTCATCAACCTCTGCCAACAAATTGTTTTCTTCCATATTCTCATCTCTCACAAAGTTGTGAAGAATAAAGCAAGCATTAATTATTCTGACTTGAGTTTTCTTATCATAAAAGCTACTTTTTCTAAGTATAGCCCATCGCTTCTTCAGTAAACCAAATGCTCTTTCGATGGTGTTTCGGGCAGATGAATGACGCAAATTAAATAGCTCCTTATAATTTGTTGGAGTACTTCCTCTCCACAAATTCAAATGGTACCGAGTGCCTCTATAAGGAGCTAAGAAACCTAGTCCGTTAGTATAACCCAAGTCCACGAGAAAATATCTATCTGTGATAGAAATAATAACAATATAAGTATTAAAATGTATCACAAATAAATGTAAACAATATTAAAAATAAATAGAAAAAAATAAGTCAAAGTGAATATCTCTTACTTCTTGGAACTCTTAAACCATTAGGCCTTTGAAGGGCATCCCCGAGGACGCGAGGATCAGAAGTAGATCCCTCCCAACCAGGCAAAACATAATTGAAGCGAAGACTGGGATCACAAGTGGCTAAGACATTAGTGCTAATATCACCTTTCCTGTCTCGATATCTAGGTCGGTCTTTAATTGGGACAGTCATTTGTATATGTGTCCCATCAAGTGCTCCAACTGCTCCCTCAAACCATTTCCATCTATTATCTCTAGCATAGCTTACAGTTGAGTCAACTTGTTTAATGTAGTACTTGCCTATCTTCATTACAGCGTGTAGCACCATATGAAATTGACGACTCACTGTTTCACCAGAGCGAGTGAACACAGCTCCAATAGTTCTATTTTTGAGGTCATGTGCAAGTGTATGAAGAAAGAATGCCACCACTTCTCTCACCGTGACATGTCTAGTAGTCACAAGACCTCCTTTGAATTGTAAGATGTGACACAACTTCTCAAAACACCTCTTATCCATACGCAATTGATCTCTACAAATTCTATCATTCATTAATGAATCCATCCAATATGCTCTTTTTCTAGCACGTTCTTGTTCGTTCCAAGATACTTCCTTCACCCTATACTTTTTATACCATTCTCCCACTAATACAATGATAAAGGAAATAACTACAATATTGAGTTCCATTTCTTCATCATCATCATCATCTCTAATACGCTTTCTTGTTTCACAAACATGTTGATCATGAGACATTTTCTAGTTTAAGAAAAAATCATGGGAATGTCAATGTACAATAAATAATTAAATACTGCAATTCAATGATTCTATAATTAAATACTAAAAATAATGAAAATAATAATGGAGGAAGTCAAAATAGCCTTTCTGATTAACAGTAGCAGTGTGTTAGTATAGCTATCAATCAACATTTTATTTCCATTAAAAACATAGCATGCATTTAATCACAAACTCTAGCTGCTACATCTCTTCTGCAAATTCAATGTTTGTTCATCTACAGCACCCCTAATTAAAATAATTAATGTAACGAAATATTTATATATGTGGTCTCATCAATTAAAAGTATATATATAACCACTTAATTGTATATATGTTTGTGTGTGTGTGTCCATATTGATTTAATTATAGTGGTAACTCATTTTTGTGAGATAGAGTAAATTATGAATGAAACCCTGAAAAGGAAGATGAATTAAGGGAGAATGAGAAAAGTTTTGACGCAAATATGTTTAAACCAGATTCAAAACCATCAGAAAAATCTGATTTTGTGAATTGGAAAAAAAAAAGAACAAAAATCGATGCACATTCATTCATTCATCATCCTCAACCTTGGACTTTAAGAAGCCATAGCTAGGGTTAAATATGGTTTCTAGATATACCTGGATTGGATCTTTTAGCTAGGGAAGAAGGAGGCGGTGGACGCGATTTAGACGCACTGGAGAGATGAAAGACGATTTAGACGCCACTCGAATACTCTCGATCTAAAGAGATGAAAGACGCACTGGAGAGAGGCGATGGAGGAGAGCTATAGACGATGGACCAGAGAGGAGTGATTGTGGAGAGTGGAGACTTTTAATTTTAATTGGGCTGGGAATTCAAATGACATGGGTTTGGATAAGAATTTGTAATTGAGTTGGTTATTAATGAGAGGAATTTGAACAACACAATACATATTGTCAAATGATTAAATTTTTATTTTTGAACATGATTGATTTTTAGAAAAATAAAAAAATTCATCTACTTATGGATATCTTCTAATCTCTTGCGCCGACCATATTGGTCATTAATTCTTAACCCCTTGCTTAGAATTCCCATACAAAATAAAGCTTCAAAGTTTGAAAAATTATCATTGCAAAGATACTTAGAACTTGTTTTCTTCCCCTAATTAATTTGATTCGTTCTAATATAATTCGAATAAATTCTGATCTAATATGATTTGGTTTGATCTAATTTCTTTCCAATAAGAATAAATAATAAAAAAAAGTTGAAAAAAACAAGCTTTTTATTTGACACGAAGAAGACCGACCACCTGCTATGAAAAACAAATTGCAAACAAGAGCGTTCTTCAAGCTCTAGAAAAGAGTGGCAAAAAAAGAAATGAAAATTTCGAGTGTTTCCGGGCTCCAGGAAAAGAGAGACGAGAGAGTAGGGTTTGATTATATTCTCATTAATTATAATGAGAAGATTATATCTCTATTTATAATAGATAGAGAAACTCTAATGCTTGTCCTAATTATAACCTCGTCGGTTCAATGTATGCATCGACGTAAAAATCGAAAATAAACTCTCAAAAAAGTTTATAATTTTATCATCACTTAATAAAAACTACATTACATTACATTAAATGTTAAATAAAAAATATTAACTAACAAATAAGTATTAAGTCATAAATAATTAATTAAATAATCTAATTTACCATTCTTATCATGTAGATGCATAATCAAATACACTATCAACTTCAAAATTACAACCACTTTATAATAGGGAGTAAAATGAAATACGGAGTGCAATACACACAAGTGACACAACACAATAATGAATGCTTTTGCAATATCCCAACAAAGAACTCCACAGTTTCCAACCCACAATCTATGTTACAAACTCAACCAAAAACAAAGGAATAATCACACTCTACAAACACAAAATTAAATGAATGACCACATGCAACAAATTTAGATACATACTTCAACTCATACAACACCAACCCATAGAAGTCCGGAGGCTCTGTGTAGTAGTCCATTCTAAGTGAGGAGGTTCATGATAGAAGCGCACTCCATATATCTATCAGTTATTATCCTTCTGAAAAAGGTAGGAAAAGAAAGAATGAGAAAAAATAGTTGTAACGAAGTTAATTTATTCTCTGTTACGTTTTTATTTATATGAAGTACTACCTCATAAATGATGGTCATGAAAACAGCATCTATACTTCCAGGGATGTATCCAAGCAGAGTGCAAATACAACAGCAGAAAAAGATGCACTGGATTTGTCATAAATAAACCCACAAAATTAAATTTATTTGGGAGGTAATTAAGGCAACCTAAAATCCATTTTTTTTTTTGTTTTACTTGTCAATAAATGAAATTTTAGAGAAAATAAGAGAAAATAAAGGAGAAGTAGTTAAAGACATTATGGTCTAGCCATATAACTATGGTTGCGTTCCGTTCGCCTGGTCTAATCTAATCTGATATTTTGAAATTCTGATATGATCTGGTCTGTTCAGATATGTCCTGGTCTGAACTGGTCTGATATGAATTTGATTAAAATTAAAATTAAAATTTTTATTATAATAGTTATAACTATAGTTATAATAATAATAGAAATAATGATAATAATAACTACAATAGGAATACTAATAATAATAGTAATAAAAATAGTGATAATAATAATAACTATACTAATAATAATAACAATAATAATAGAAATAATAATAGAAATAATACTAATAATAATAGTAATAATAATAATAGAAATAATATTAATAATAATAATTATAGTAATAATAATTAAGAATAGTAATAATAATAGTAGTAACAATAAATACAATAAAAATAAATTAATAATAGTAATAATAATAGTTATGATAATTGTAAGAATAATAATATTATTAACATTAATGGTAATAATAATAATAATAATACTATTAATCGTATTATTAATAATCATAGTGTTAATAATAGTAATAGTAATAAGAATAATAATATTAATTTTTTTTAGATCTCATCTGATCTGATCTGATTGGATCTGATCTAATATGATTGAATCGGATCTGGTTTGATCTAATCTAATCTAATTTTAATAAAAATAAGTAATAAATAGAAAAAAAAATAAATTGAACATGCATTAACTCTACTTCCACTCCAGTGGGTTGCTATTGTTAATGCTCCCCCTCCCTATGTTCCATGCCAAAAGGCACAACTCCGATTACTAAATAAAATTCCATACGGAGTACTTTTTAGAGAAGATTATTTAAAAATTATTATAAAACTTACATATTTAAAAGGTATGTAAAAAATTAAACAAAACAAGATGTGATATTACTATTTATTATTTTATCAAATGATCAATAAAAACACATAATCTCGATGTCCCAAAATAATTTATATATTTATTATTACGATTTCTCTATAATAGCTTAAAAGAGAAATTGGGGAAAATAAATAAAGTATCCCGTCCCCATAGCGCTTGTACATGGCATAAGGGGGCAGTAGGATGGCCAAGAAGATATCCTTCATAGTCCAATCTCTCATTTTCTTTCACAACTCAGAACAGTAACTAAATTTAATATTTGATGATTAATTAATTAATTAGAGAATCAGCACAGATCGTTGCTCTAATTAGAGAATTTGTGCCATGTACTCCGTAATTTATAGGCGATTAGGCGGTCTTGTTCCGCACCGTATAAAATGTATGACAGGACGTCACCTGCCGGAAAAAAGGGGAAAAAAGGGGACAGACTTTGAACAATAATTACTTTACAAATGTTGAATTCTTTTTTGAATTCAATTATGTCTACCAAAAATTGTACAATCTCTGTTCTAAAACTATCTTTTCGTTTGTGTTTACGATGCTTGACCGACTTTATTTTCAATTTAATTTATTTGATTGTAGGTGTAAAATTTAAAAATAAAATTTATATATTTAAAAACTACATAAAAAATTCTACAAAACAAAAGGTGACGAGCCTATATTATTTTATCAAATAACAAACCAAAATAGGTAAGGAAAGTGATTTAAGTTTGACCATGTGAATAGTAACAAGGAAGATAGTTTTAGGACGGAGGGATTATTTATTTTGTACTTCCTCCGTCCTAGAAAGAATTTCCTACTTTGATTAACATTCAAAATTCCGTAGATTTTAAAATGATTTTATTTGCAAATTGGCAAGGAAGTAACACATAAATAAATTATATTTAAAAACTATATCGAAAACTCTACAAAATAAGAGGTGACAAAAATATTTTATTTTATCAAATGATCAATGAAAACATGCAAACAAATAAGAATTATCGAGAGGGTGTAATAATAAACAAGAAAGACTTTTTGGGATGGAGGGAGTATTTCGAAGACATACACCAATATTTTGTCAGTGCAATTTTATTGATTGAACTGATATTTTTTGTGAGTATGAACTGATAAAATGTTAATACATCTTTTAGGGTATAATTTTAAGTACACTTTTTTGTTTACAGCTAACACTGTTGTTCTTTTTTGGCAACACATATCTTGAATTCTAGCTAACGGTTCAACACCGTCTTTGCTTTTATTTCTTTGGAAGAACATGGTTATAACTTTTTTTTGACTAGTTATACCTTACATTCACACATTTCTCGTACATTCAAATAACTACTTACTCCGTATTTTTTTAGTAGCAAAATACTAATTTTTAAAATTTGAATAATTCAATATTTGCTCCGTCCTAAAATATTATTTTCGTTTCTGTTTACGAGATTTGACTGATTTTATTTTTAATTTAATTTATTTCATTATAAGTGTAAAATTTAAAAATAAAATTTATATATTTATAAACTACATCAAAAGTTCTACAAAACAAGAAGTGACAAAAATATATTATTTTATCTAATAACTAACGAAGTTAGATAAAAAAAGTGACTAAAGTATAATTG